TTCAGTAGAATCTTGTCCTAGGGCAGCCCGTTTTATTTTCTAAGCATGTGCCTAATAAAAGATAATTTTCATGGTTCAAAGGAAAGAGCTGAGAGGCTGGTAGGTATTGCAAGACGGAATTCTGAATATTCTTCATGTGATGATAGAACATTGGTGAGCTTTGGCCATCAGATCCTGGAAATTGCTGATTATGGCCAACCAGTGTCTGATATAATTAATTTTAATACATATTTTGGAGATTAGCCAGTTACATGGGCCAGAATTGTTACAGACTTATATTAATTCATCAGTGTGCACATATATTTCTACAAAATTGGGTGTGTTCTGTTATTTCTCTCAGAACATTGGCAATCTCTTTTGATAATCTAGCATGTATTTTTTTTGACCTCAGTTAAAGTTTAGTGTAATAAATTATTATGCAAACAGATATAAAATGATCTGTCCTTTGGGACATTCAGCACAAAGTGATGGTTAGCTTGGTGATTATTAAACCTTCACAACTAGCCAAACAGAAACATTGTCTTTGTGCCGTCTGCAGCTAATCAAGGCATTTCAATAGAACTAATATATTTAGAGGTCTTTGAATTTTCATTTGGTCCAAGAGACTCAGTTAAAGCAAAAAGATGATAGCCAGATGGATTAAGGATGACAAAGGCACTGTTGAAAACAAACTAAAATTGAACAACAACAAATTGGAATTAAGGAGGGATACAGAATCCGAATCCAAGTGTATATTGGGTTATTTATCTAGAATGGAGGCTCTTGTCCGTGGAGGACAGGGCTTCGTTGCAGACTGAAAATGATCCTCTCAAAAGTGTCCACATCTTGATCCCCAAAGACTGATTGATAAAGAGAGATAAACTCGGATTATTCAGGTGATTCCGTGGAATTGGTAGGGTCCTTAAAAACTGGGAGGCTGCTAGAATCAGAGGAGGGACTGTGGCAGTGGGAGCAGAGACTGCAGTGATGTGGCTGTCAAATGCAAGGCACGGCAGCAGACTTCAGGCGTCAGAAAAATCAGGGCATGCATCTTCCCTGAGAGTTTCCAAAAGAAATGCAGCCTGGCCAGCATTTTTTGTTTTAAGCCCAGGGAAACTGATTTTAAGCTTCTGATCACCACAACTATAAGGTAGCAAGTTTGTGTTGGAATTTTTTTCTTAGGAGGAGTTTGAAAGCAGCTGTAGTAGTGTTGAATAATATTGTTATGAACCTAAATTGTTGGTGTTTGTCTTATTTCCTTTGTTGTCAGGAGTGATTATAAACCCAAGTTGAGTGTATGTGATGACGTTAGGATAGTGATGTCTGTTAAAGGAAAGAGCAATTAAAAAAGATTTATTCATTTATATTTGAAAGGCAGGTTTATAGGGAAAAGTAGAGATAGAGAGGTAAGGTAGGAGGAAGGAAGGAAGGGAAGAAAGATAGAAAAGAAAAGAAAAAGAAAGAAAAAGGGAGAGAAAGAAAGATGGAAGGAGGGAGAGAAAATGAAAGAAAGGAAAGAGAGAAGAAAGAGAGTGACAGAAAGAGATAGTATCTTCTCTCTACTGTTTTGAGTCTTCACATTTCCTCCCCAGTTGGGCTATGATGTAGCCTGCTGTGTGGGTGGCAGGCTTACCAGCTACTGAGCTGTCACTCGCTGCCTCCCAGGATGTGCGTTAGCAGGATGTTGGAACTGGGAGAGGAGCAGGACTCCAGCAGCGCTCGCTGGTCAATGTCGTGTCTTTAACTGCTACACCAGATGTCCTACAGTCTGGAATGATTTTTAACTTTTAGTTAAGCGCTGAATTATCTGTTACATTCTGAAAAACAACAGGAAAATTTGTGGTTGAAGGACTTATAAACTGCTTAAAGATGGTGAGACTGGTTGACCACATTGTGGAGCAAATTAATAAATACCCTTAATATTATTCAGCAGGAGCCCACTGAGGGAAGAGAGCTGATAGATTCCTTTCAATGGTCTTAGATTGTTAATAGCTCATTCTGTGCTGTTCAGTGCCATTTACTGTGATGAGAAGAAATATATATTACCTATGTAGACAATAAAAAAATCATAGCAGCTGTGTAGTGAGAGGGTTGGGTCTCCAAGGAGGGGAAAGAGACTGGAGACAGAATTCAGTTGCTAGTGACCAATGATTGAATTGAACACTCAGTCACCCCCATGTACTGTAGTCTTTATATCGCCCTATCCCTCCAAAGGGAAAAATGAATTAGAAGAGCAGGTTCAGGCTGGTGGAGATGTTGAATGTCTTGGAGTCTGACCTAGGAAAACTACTCATTGTATTGTTCCCCAGACACTGTATGTGAGTATTCCATTATTAGGCTAATCCTGATTTTACCCTTTCCACTAAGTCAATACATTTCAGGAAAGTATTTCCTGGAGTTTTGTGAGTTGTCCTATCAAGGCAGAGAAGGGTGTCATTGGTCAAAAGTACAGATGTCAACCTGAGCCTTGTGACTGGCATGTGCTGTGAGGGCAGTCTTGTGAGGTCAAGCCCTCAACCCTGTGGGGTGTGACATTTACCCCAGTAGCTAGTGCCTGAATGGAATGGGAGAGGGTCAGCTCCCATGTGCTTTAATCTTGTCTCAGCAGGGCCCACGTTTAGAGTTAGAAGGCTGGGCTTGGCAGCTGTACCTGTGAAAGGCAGCAGGGCATCTAACATAACCGTCATTGTGTACGAGCCAGCCCTGAATGCTCACACAGACCTCGGCTTTACCTGTGAAGGCTCAGAAGGCTTAATTTTCCTGCTGTGCCATGCACGTGTACATCTCCTTTGGCACATTGCATTCATTCTGGAGGACTGAGGGTTAAGTCAGATGTGGACAAAATGGGAGCAGGCAACTCAGGGGGTGAGTCAGGGAGCCCTGTCCTTCACTGGACAGTAAAAAGAACGCTTAGTAAGCACACTAGGATAGCTGAAAGGAATCTGCATAAAAAGAGGCAGAAGAGCCATAATGTTCTAGATGAGAAAACTGCAGACCTTGGCAACCAGTGTGATGAGATTTCTCTTTGGCTTAGAGTTGTATTTGTGTCTGTGCATTCTTACGTTGGACCCACGTAGAGTTTAGTTCTCATTGGATTGATATGAGTATGTATTCACATAAATGAAGACATTTGTGAATATGTGCATATGCATACATATTTCTATGGTCTAATTACGAAATAGGCTTAGAATGGAGTTAAGCTTATTATTTTGTACATGTATTATCATTATTTCAAATTACTTATTTAGAATGCTCACAGGTGGAGTGCTGTATTCATTGACATCTCTGTGGGGGGATGTACCAAACAAAGCATATAGGCATTCCACAAGCATAGATCAATTTGCAACTGTGTGTGTGTGTGTGTGTGTGTGTGTGTTTGCCCTGGAATCTATTTTGAAAAACACTTCAAAAAACTTTTGTATGTTTTGTGGCATTCAATTTCATAAGAAGTAAAGTGTAAATCATTTTGGAGATATACTTAAATCTTAGTATGTTTTAAAAATTTCAAACCTTTGTAATTTTATACTTAGTTTTCTCTCTTTTCTTCTCAATAACCAAACCAGGATATATTTTTCTTTCATCCTCCTACCCCCGAGTTTTGGTTTCCAATCACATTGCATAGAATAGGTTGGTCATTACAGCATCTTGGCTAGCTAATGAGATGGGAGTATTTTTCAGAAGAAAGTTTTAGACATTTATTTATGCAGCAAAGGAGCAGGTAAGGTTCAGGTCACTGTGTTTAAGCTGAGGTTGGGTGGCTTTCTATGAAGAGATGCTATAAAGTGCATTTCTTCATTGAATTTATTCACTGACTTAGTCGTTAGGAAACAACTGTGAAGGAAGCAGATGAAATTAGTGGTCAAGAAGCTGGGAAAAGCTGCCAATACTCCATTGTACGAGGACCCTCAGAAAGTGTACAGAATGCAAACTATTAAAAAAAATAAATGGATTTCAAATTATCTCTGCACTAACATAAACTTACTTTTTAATTCTATTTTCCACGAGGTTTTGAAATACATGTTTGTGGGTTGAAAGAAATTGCTGCTGCTTCTGTTTCCTTTGCCTTAGTGTCGAGCTCTGACTAGACTTTCCCTACTGTGTCCTTAACACACTGTAGAGAATGACTTACCATACTTTTTCTGGGAAGTGCAACTGACACTTTAAATCCCTTTTAAAAAATACTGTAGACCTTTTGAAAGGACTATTTACAAGATGAAGAGAGAGACGGAAAGAAATAATTTGATTCTTTACACGCTTTGACTCACTCTCCAAATGCCCCCAACAGCTGGGGCTGGGTCAGGTTGAAGCCAGGAGCCAGGAATTTAATCCAGTTCTCTCAGGCAGGTGGCAGGGGCTCAGCTAGTTGAGTCATCGCCTGCTATGTCCCAGGGGTGTGCATTAGCAGGGTGCCAGCTTTACGAGTTGAAGGTTGGGCTCAAATCCAGTCATTCTGAGACGGGATATGGGGATATATCCAAGCAGTCTTGGGTGCTGTACCAAAGACCCACTCCAAATTATAATATGTATTACAATATTTTATTTTTCTGTCTTTGAATGAAGGTAAAGTTGAATGTAGAATCAGTTTTGGTGGGACAGTGTTGACTGTGTTCATGGTAGACATTTAATTCCAGTCTAACTTAATGTATGTTTAAAGAGTCAAGATTTATCAGAAAGTATGGTAAGCAAATATAATACGTTTTAAATTTAAGGTGATATTACTTAATATTTTTGAAAGTTCACTGTGCTTAAAGCATATGGAATAATCAGTTTCCAGAGTTATGCTTTTATTTTTTCTGAGGGAAATTTTAGTTTGTTTATGCTAAGACATTGAATCTCCAACTTTGATATTTGGAGATTGACCACATATCTGAACTAATTCTACTTCTTCCCACGGAGATCAATACTATCAGGATTAAGCAAAGGTGCCAGGAACACAGTGTGCGGATTTGAGGGTGACAGTGCGATCGCCTTTCATTTTGGCATATCAAGTAAAGCCAGCTGTTCATTTGTTTCATGTCTAGGTTTGGAATTCACCCAGTTGCAGGCCGAATGCCCGGCCAGCTTAATGTGCTGCTGGCTGAAGCTGGGGTGCCATATGATATTGTGTTGGAAATGGATGAGATCAACCATGATTTCCCAGGTAAGTGATGGGGATGGTGGTGAAATTTAATTACTCTTAGGGTGAACAAAGCCATACCGGACTAAGAATATGAATTGGGGAATCAGTGAAGGCTGTGATGATGATTAATGCATACATAGTAGATGTGCAATCTAAATGAAGTACATGAAACACAGTTTTGAGTAAGATGCAAAAGTTAAGCAGCAGGGATAGGTGTTGTTGCCCTGTGAGGAGCTGGAGGACAGGGCACATTCTGAGGCAAGGTGCAGGATGCCAACGGAGGAATCCGACAGTCCTGGTGTTGGAATTCAGGCCCTAATGCTCAGGGATTTGCATGCTGAACCTTAAGCTGTTCATTTTTCGAAAATGCTTCTGTTGACTATTGGATGTCTGATTCTTGTCAATGTTGGAGAATTTACTGGTTTCCCATTGTGTCGGTGCGTGACCAGTGAACTCGTCTTTCTCTCATGCACTAGGACCTCACTAGATAAGGAGCTGTGCTTTGTAGCTGTCACTGGGCAGATGTTGAATAGTAATGACATTTTGGCCCAAGATCATGTTTGTTAAAATTAAGCCAGTTCCCTCTGGCAAGTATCCACTGTAAACTTAAAAAAACATTGTTTATTAGAAGAAAAAAAAAAACAGAGAAATCGTGTGTATGTCTAGATGCACATGGCATTTTTGGCACCATTCTAAGGTAGTTTATTTTATAGTCCTTCAAGAGAGAATTCAGGCATTTTAATTTTATGCCCCTTTTCAAATCTTGCTGTTGCTAAATTACGGGTAAAAACCAGCCAGTTCCAGAAATTATGGGCACAGATTTAACACAGTACAGACTTTTACATCTCTGTCTTTTAGACATCAGAGTACATCTTAATTGATGCTTTTAAAGTTGCAAACAGTATGCAAATCTTAGAATATCATGTGACTAGCAGGATCTTTTGGGGATAATAAAAGATTTATAAAGTCAAATTAGGTAGATCCATTGGGAGACTGAAAGCATAATAATGCAGGCTCTTGGTCAGAAGGCTCAAGTTCAGAGTAGCTTCTTAGCTGTGTGACATTGGTTAGGTTGCCTGACCTCTCTGATCAAGTTCTTTGTACAGTGCGTTCACAAGTGAGTATTCTATAAACATTAGCTTTTGTAATTGTAATTATGAAGTTACATCATAATAATTTACTTGAACGGAAGTGAAAATGACAACTTGAGAAGTTTATGCATTTTTTTCTTAATTGCTTTTTGCAGACACTGATTTGGTCCTCGTAATTGGAGCTAATGACACTGTGAATTCAGCAGCACAAGAAGATCCTAACTCTATTATTGCAGGCATGCCAGTCCTTGAGGTGTGGAAATCAAAGCAGGTAATGCATTTCCTCCTGATGACCAAACACACGCAAACACCTACACACTCGTATACTCACACATTCATACAAACATGTACACACACAACACACACATGCTCTCACATACTCAGACACACACCTACTGTCACAATACACTCACACACATGCTCACATACATACATGCACACTCAAACATACACACTCACACACACACATGCTGTCACACATATACTCACACAGGTACCCACGCACACACACACATACACATACTAACACACACACACACACTGTTCTTTGGTCATTTGATGGAAACCATGATGTCCTGTAGGAGGCCCAGGATAAGAGCCTGATTAGGTACCCATCCCTAAAGCCGGCTTCTGTCTAGTCTCTGGCTACCTGAGAACCTGTGTGAATGCCCTCATCATAAGCAGAGCCAGATGAGATTTTGTGGGAGGATTAGCAGAATCTGTAATCACAGCTGGAAAAAAGAGCTGTGAGCTTTTGGAATGAGTTTGGCTGGATTCCAGATGGAGTCCAGCAAAGCAGATGGCTTCCCTCTGGGACAGTGAGTCAGTATCATCGCCTTCATATACCAAGATGAGCACGTTTTTTTTTCATCTAAAATTTTTTAGAGGGAATTTGTGTGTTATGGAGTGCCTAGAACTAAGGTGACTTGAAATCCAAAGAATAACAGAAATAGGGAGCAAGCTTTGCTCACATGCATTACTTCTGAGGAGGCTGATGGCTATGTTTGGAGGATCAAAGACTGATAAATTTTCCTGTGTCCCAGCAGAGTGGTATCTTTTCACAGTTCTGGTATCATGTCTGCATTATAGGATTCATAATGATAAAATGGGCACTTTCCCTATAGTTTTGTTTCCCTCTCTTTTTTTTATATATGTGTTATATATACATATATATATAAATATAGTCACAGTGTTTGTGCTGAGAGAATAGATACTAAATACACTTGTTCATGGGTGGATAAAATACTCCTCCATCAGTAGTTAATTGTATTAATGCTATCTGAAATCTGGATACATTTGCACTGGTTCCTTTTTTGAGTGGATTCTACATCTTAGAAAACTACAGAAAAGCTTTTCATCTCTTTGGAACTGACCTGGCCTTCAGCAGGATAGCAACTGGGGTCTTAAAAGTGTTGGAAACAGCCCAGTGTTACAGATTGACTTATCCCTTCCATGCTGCTTTGCTGGTGCTTTCTGTTGGTTATTAGCTTCATCCTTATGAGAAACTGGGTTGTTGGGTCTTTCTGATATACTTTAAAATGGCTTAAAAAAAATCATACCATATCCTTGCCCAACCAGATTTATTTTAGAATTTGCAATGGGGCCTTATATACTGCTTATTCTCTTTAGTATAGTCACAGAAAGATGCTTATTTCTCTTACTAGAAAATATTATACATGATTATATAGGAAGGGATTTCCAATATCTTAACATTGGTAACTGCTTGAAGTTTGAGGAGCTAGATGTGTTTACCTGATTGGATATTACCCAATGGTACGCCATTAATATGTATGTGTCAGTTATAAAAGCAGTATTATTTAAAAACAAGACAATTAGGCAGAGCTGTGTTTCTGTGCTGAGAGGTCGTAGCTTCTGTTATATACACCCTCTCACTTAGTGTTTGGTTCGTTCTTAGGTCATTGTCATGAAGAGGTCTTTGGGAGTTGGCTATGCTGCAGTAGACAATCCAATCTTCTACAAACCCAACACGGCCATGCTTCTCGGGGATGCCAAGAAGACATGTGATGCATTGCAGGCAAAAGTTAGAGAATCTTATCAAAAGTAAATGCTAAAGATGAAGTGAGCATCTGGAAAAGCAACCTCTTCAGTTGTGGGAACAGGAAAATGGAGGAGCAGTGTAAGTGACTGAGACATGTCCATGACGAATCTCTTGAAGAAAAAGAAAACTGAAGAAAGCAAAGCTAACAGAGGGAGCTTTTTCAAAAACAATGATCCTTTCATTTTTTAAAAAAAGATTGACAATCCCGAATGTATTTGTGCTGAGATATTGTGTTTGAATCAAAAGCATTTTATAAAAGGGAAAAGAACCATTTCAGTTTTTTATGTAATCCCATTGGATTTTTAAATTCCTGTTCAATAACCAGAAATATTTTTAAGAAATTGAGGTTCAGGATTTCAGAATTGTATTACACTTGGGTCTGAACAATCTGGCATGTGTAAATACTACAGACACTTCCAATTATGTTTTTTGACAAATGTAACGATTTTGAAACTTTTATCAATTCTTCAACAGTCCAAGTGAAACTTAACCATAGTTTGAACTGACTACATCAAAGCAGCTTCGATTTTTCTAAACGTACTTCAGATTCTAGAGTTCAAGGGTATATTTTCTCACTTGCATTTTAATGCATTAGGAGACCAGATCATCTTTTGTGAAATTTGGGAAAAGTCATTTGCTGTATGTTCCATTGGAAAATGAATGAAATGTGTGAGTTGGGATTAATAATGCTTGTTGTGTTTTAAAGAAACCCATTTCCAATTACAGATCTTTTTCTCATGCCAATCAATTTAAAATATGTAGTACTGTATTAAGTGCACTTGAGTGGAATTCACCTCTTTGACAAATAAAATCAGTTCACCATATTTGCAAGTGATGTAGCAATTGTCTCTGGTGAAAGATGCTCAATCACATAGTTCTGCTTGTTGTTAACCCCCAGGGAAGATTTTCTACTACGAAACTATGAAATTAACTCGCTTAACTGTTTATAAGGAATAATTTTTTTTTTAAAAAAAATAAAAGTGTGTTTGAGGCCTTATGTAAATTGTAGTATTTGAAGGGAATTGGGGCACTTTTTTTAGCCACCTCTTTGTTTATGCAGGCCCTAGAAAAGATCGTGTCTTCTTGTAGTACAAGTTTAGATTGTTTTAGTGATTGCTGTTGTGCCAGATGCTCCAAATATGGGAGAATGTGTGATGGATGCATAGGATGTATGATTGATTTGGTACTAGGCTTCTGAAAAACAATTATTAACTCATTAAAATTTTCTAAACTAGAAAAAGAAGTATCCATTACAATTTTTTTTTTTAACAGTGATGTTCACATTTTCTGAGTACCTATTGCTTTGGTGGTCAGATTTTATTTTGCTGTGATTAAGATTTTGCATGTTTGTATATGTGTGTGTGTATTTTAAAGCAAAACAGACTTTTTTTTATTACAAGGTCAGATGTACAGAGAGGAGGAGAGATAGAAAGATCTTCTTTCCGATGATTGACTCCCAAAGTGAGTGCAATGGCCACAGCTGTGCCAATCCAAAGCCAGGATCCAGGAGCTTCCTCCAGGTCTCCCACACAGGTGCAGGTTCCCAAGTCCTTGGGCTGTTCTTGACTGCTTTCCTAGGCCACCAGCAGGTAGCTGGATGGGAAGTGGGGCTTTTGGGATTAGAACCGACGCCCATATGGGATCCTAGCATGTTCAAAGCAAGGATTTAGCTGCTAGGCCATTGTGCCAGGCCCTGGAGTTGGAGATTTAAAAAACAGCCTATTGCATCAATCTGAACTACAAATGATCACATTTGAATATTTTGAATTTTTTAAATTTATAATTAAATTGTTACCTGCCAATCCATGTGATAGTTAACTTGAAAATTCATGTGTATTTGGGTTTAATTTCCTTTATTGGTTAGGATACTTAAAGGATATATATATATGTGCATATATATATATATATATATACAATTTCTTTTTTAAAAGATTGATTTATTTATTTGAAAGGCACGGTTAGAGTGGGGAAGACAGGGAGAGAGACAGAGGAAAAGAGAGAGAGAGAGAGAGAGACCTTTCATCTGTTGGCTTGCTCCCCAAATGGCTGCAGGGACAGGGCATGGCGAGACTGAAGCTGACTGCCAAGAGATTCATCTGGGCTCTGATGTGGGTGCGGGGTCCCACGTGGTTGCCTCACCTTCTGCTGCTTTTCCAGGCACATTAGCTGGGAACTCAGAGCAAAAGTGGAGCATCCAGGATTCGACCAGTGCCCACATGAAATGCTGGCATCCTGGGCTTAATCTACCACAACACTGGAGCCCGGCATAGAATTCCTTACATTAATGCTCTAAAATTATTGATCATGGAAAGACCTAAAAAATAACTGAAATTATTTTTATACATCTTATTTTATTATTCCTCCTCTTTTGATAAGTCAAATAAGTGGTAGATCTAACATTACTTTTTTATTGTTTACTATATTTGTTGATATTCAACTATACTCTAAAAAGCCTGTTGTACCCTACACAGTTCAGCTGTCTTTTAGCTCTTATTTTCTATCCTTTTGTTTGTCTTACTTTGCTTAAAATGCTCATCTAACTGAAAAGTGTACATAGGAAATGTGTAAGTTTGACAGTTATGTATCTATATCTTCATCTCCTTTCAGGGGATCATTTGTGGTAGAGAAACTGTTGTCCATGCAGTAGACTTTTGCTGGGTCAGAGAAACCCAGTGAAGTATTTGATAATGAATCTGGAAAATGGGCCTTGCCCTTTATAATTCCACCCAAGTCATGACCCAAAGTTTGACATGTTGCTGTATTTCGCTCTTCTCACACAAATATGGAATGTATTAGGTGTAGGGCGCTTTAGGGTTTATATTCATTTATCTAGTCCCAAAGCTTTATTCTATATAATTAATAACTTATAACCCTTATGGTCACCTAGCTTAGAGGCAAAAATTCAAGTCCCCCAGAGCATGAATCTTGAGAATTAAAGTATTATAGTGTTGGAAAGCTGGACAGTTCTTTTGTATAGCTGGGGAGAACAGTTGAAGTATTTAATTTATAACTCTTGCCAATTTTTGAGAGCCTTTGCCAACAAATATTATTGTGTCAGTGTAGTTAAAAAACAAAGCCCAAACCCTTTACTCCAGTGGCAGTCACTTGCACAATAGAGTGACTCTTTAGACTCTCAAAGGAAAAAATAATAAGAAAAAAATTTTAAGGGACGCTTTTAAAGTGTTGGTTGGTGAAGCGCCAGAAGTGGTCATGTATGCACTTTTTAAAAAAAAAAAGATTTATTTATTTTTATTGGAAAGTCAGATATATAGAGAGCAAGATCTTCTGTCCACTGATTCATTCCCCAAGTGGATGGAGTTGATTCACTCCCCAAGTGGTTGCAAAGGCCGGAGCTGAGCTGATCCAAAGTCAGGAGCCAGGAAGCTCCTCTAGGTCTGCCATAAGGGTGCAAGGTCCGAAGGCTCTGGGCTGTCCTGGACTGCTTTTCCAGGCCACAGGCAGGGAGCTGGATGGGAAGCAGCGCCTCCGGGATTAGAACCAGCACCCATATGGGATCCTAGTGCATTCAAAGTGAGGACTTTTTAGCCGCTAGGCTACTGCATCGGGCCTGGAAAACACATTTTAATAGATAATTTAATTGGGAGAATAGCGGGAGATCATATTGGATAGGTAGAGATAGCTCACTTTGTGTTAATGGAGAACTCGTGAAGAGTCCGGCTGGTTCACGGTGGCGAGCGGAAGCCACGCCCCCACCTGTGCAGTAATTTTTGCCCACCTGTGCGGCCGAGGGCGCGTCCTGCCGTTACGTGGGCCCCGGAGGGGCGGTGCTGCGTTGGTGCGTAACCACGCCCCTCTCGGGTCCCACGAGGGCCGGCGCGGGGACGGTGCGCCCCGGTGCTGCCGGGCTCTCTTCGGCCTGTGGCGGCCTCGGCTCTCTGTCTCTCGTGTTCCTGCTTGTTCTCTTACTTCGCGTGGACAGACGGCAAGGACAGAAGGTAGCCATCTTTCCCTTACTCTTTTGCTTTCTGGCTCGCTGTCTCAGAACACGGCCTACGTATGTCTGCATTCCTCACTCTCTGGATAAATGTTGCCACTGGTTCATGCCGCGAAAAGGAAGAACCTAGCAAATATTTGGCCCAAACCTAGACCACAACGCGCTGGGTAGTGGGGGGATACTGTTATCTTTGGTTTATTGCTTGCCAAAGCATCTGTCTACCTCATTTGAACTCCGCTTTACAGTTCATGCCGAAAGTGTGTTTGTAAAGAATATTAGTGGAAGAATGTTTTCTCCTGAAGATTTTGTATTTTGCCCATAGGTTAAATGAGACTCCCAGAGAGGTGGGTGGTTGGGCTGGGTTATTTGCATCATTGTGGAAAAACAAAGGCATAACAATGATTATGTTTGCCTGCAGTCACTGTAAATTCTGGGAGAAACGCACAGGTCAGCAAGAGAATAGAAGTGGATTGTCGTAGACTTTGCGAATCAACGAGAGGATTTGGAGTTTTGGATTTGGGGAAAGCAGTTGGTTCTCGTTTACTCTTTGAGACTACAACGTAAGAATGGAAAGGTCTCTGGACAAGTGGGAGTGTTTGGTCCTAAGTCATGCAGAGTTAGGAGAGAGATGTTTTCTTCCCCCACAGGGACCAAATGGTGTCCGTACTTTATTTTCAGGATGTTTTGTCGTGGGTGTTTGAACCATGGTGTCAGAAATTGCTCCTTTCCAGAAAAAATTTTTTTCAGGGTTACTGATTCATGGAGAAGTTTGTGCTTTAAAAATATGGCCAGCTCCGTGGTTTTGCTCAGTTGGGATGTATGTTTGTGTGTGGGAGTGTGGATGTAGTTTGGTCCACACCCTTATATGTTATTGGGAATATCTGTTGCATTTGGGGTGGTTGTAGTAATTTGGACCTATAGTCTTAGGAAAGATTGTAATACCATTTTTGTAAATGAGACCAACGGACTACCCAAAGAATATGAAAGAAAGTTTATGGGAGCACCATCTATGTATAAGGACCTTAGAGAATTTATTTTGGTTTTGAATCTCATTGTGGTGCTTCATACCCAAGATATTGTGTGAACAAGTTGAATCAGCAGGTGCATTTTAGTGATAAATTTGGGATGAGTATTTGGGTAGTGGTATCACTGTGAAAGATGTCACCATTTCTTGCATAATGAATGACTTTTGGTCGTGTTTACATGCAATACCTAAGCAGCATGCAAATGTTTAAGTTGATAGTGTTGCATGGCCTGCAAGATGTTGCAAACATCCAAACAGCCCTTGGCAGAAACAGCTTTCCCCACCCCCATCCTAAGGCTTCTGTCAGTCAAAATCTTTGTGCTGTGGATTTTTATCTCTTAGGAGCTGTGAACTCGGATGTGCCAAGATCTCTCTCTCTCTCTATATAAGTATATATATATATATTTTTGGGGGGTATAACTAGATGAGCTCCTCTTTTCCCTAGTGTTGGAAATGTAATTTCTAATTCTTGGTGTTTTTCTCTGGTTTGACTCCTGGGGAACATGAGTCTGAAGGCAAGGCCAGTGTCATCTCGTCAGTGTGAGTGAAGTGAGCTGGGTCCTTGAGCTTCACCTGTCCAAGCAGACATTCCCCAGCCCTATATTGCCCTGTCAGACTTGGTGACTGATACATTCGCACTTGGCTGTCTTCTGTTTTCATGTTTGATGTAACTAATGTAAGAGGAGTGACAGTGGGTTTAAAGCAATATGAAATGGAAGAAATACACATGGGTATAATCATTGCAACATATCTGGATAATTTTTTATTCCATTTAAGTTTGGCTTGAAACTTTTGAAAATCTTTATATGGGAATGGAATATTAGTGCTATTTCAACAAGCAAAATAAGTAGATACTTTCTTTAATTATTTGGAATGGAATTGAACCAAACACTTCAAGCGTATTATAAGGAGGAGCCATTTAATTTGTCTCCAGAGAGGAGCAGAATTGCTTCAGAAATCTCGACTTTTAGATATTTAGTGAGATGTTGAGTTGTTTTGGGGAAGGCCTCCCTCACTATTCTATGAGGAATAAAAACTGCTCTGTCATTGAATTTGTACTCATTTATCAGCAATGCTTTGCTATTAACTCTGTAGCCAAAAAATTGAAAAGAACCATTTATTCATAGTTGGAGCATATCTGAAACAAAGAAAGGTCAGAACAGCTTTTCTTGATAAGTACTCTCTTTTTTCAGAACATAACTTAGCATTTCTAGTTCATCCAATTTTTTGTACTGATGTATTATT